AATTTTGTTGGGGAACCGTAATACCTGATGGTAGGTTGATGCCACTAATCGCATGGTGTGTAACCATGCTCTTTCCAAGATTATCTTGTAAGTGGAAGGGACTTTCAATACCCAAAAATTCCACCGGTTTCGTCATCGTTCCTACCTTGATCGACAGAATTATCTTGTCCACCGACCATTCTGGCATTGAGTTGAAGCTGACTAAGGGAGATGTTACGGGTGCCAAGTCTCTGTCCTCTAGTTTTAGTTACTTGAAGGTCTCGTAGTACATTATCTCACAGGAGCTCCCTTGGTCAATTAGGATCCGCTTGATGTCGAAGTTCCTGACGCGCAAAGTAACCACTAGTGCGTCGTTGTGAGGGCATTGTAACCTTGCTAAGTCCTTGTCAAAAAGCAGATGACGTTTGTTGCCTCCATTTTTTCCCTTTTGATGGTAGGTTGTGCACTTAGTACCTCTCTCATGTGCTTAGCCTTTTTGATCATCCCTCTGAGTTCACATACCTGTTCAGGTTTGACGATCCCATGTATTACATTGATTACACCTTGGGGTGGACCGTCGACCGGCATCCCATCTGACTTATTGTGGTCTTGAGGGGTTGGCTGTGTTCCCCCTTCAATATATTGGTCCACGTGGCCTGTGGCCATTAGCTCCTCCAGATGTTGCCTTAATGGCGTACAGTTTTCAGTTCGGTGCCCCTTTTCATCATGAAAGGTGCAACGGTACCTCTCATCGTAGCCCCTCTATGTTTCTCCCAACTTGGCTGGCCGCCGAACGAAGGGTTCATCGCGTATCTCGCTAAGAATCCGGTAGATAGGTTTATAAAATACCGTGGTGATGGCCGTGCAGACTCTCAACTTCCTTGCTTGGAGATCCTCCTTGTTAGGTCGTCTACCTCGCCCATTTTTGCTTGGTTGTTCAACCGTGTTGGCTTTTGCTGTAGTCTTTCTATTCAGCATCGTTGTTGTGTCAGATTTTGCTTTAGCGCGGGCGCTATCTTCTTCTACTCGGATGTGTTGATGTACTCTCTCCATTAGGGCCTCCATTGTGAGGGGTGGCATCATCGTCATTGAATCCCTCAACTTGTTACCTACCGGTAAACCCCATTTGTACTATGCGATGGTGAGGTTTGTGGGGCAATCTCCAATCTGATTGAAAGTCTCCCAATATCGATTGTTGTAAGACTTCAATGTTTCTTTCTCGCCCATGTCAATGGAGAGTAGCTGGTCAATCTCCACTGGCGTCTTGGTGTTTGTTCTGAATCTGGTCACAAATGCCTCTGCCAACTGTGCCCATAAAGCTATGCTACCTTCTGGAAACCTTTCAAACCATGTTAGACCTAGTCACTAAGGCTGGAAGGAAACAAGATACACATTAGGGCCTCGTTTCGTTGATACTCGACCTTAACTTGGCGAAAGTGGCTTAAGTGCATGTAGAGGTATGACTTCCCCTCATAAGTAGTGAATTTGGGTTGGTGGAAGCCTGAGGGTAGCAGTGCGTTCTCAATTACCGGAACGAACGGTGAGCTCTGTAACCTTGCTAACACTTTATCTGCTGGTTCGTAAGCAAGGCGTGGTATTGGCATCCCTACCTCAACACTCTCATGTGTCCTAGGAGCCAATCGCTGTAGAGTTGAAACTCTGCGAGGGTCGCAAGCCTGGGTGTCCTCCTTTCATCGGGCCCTCTCCTCTAGTACTGTTTGCAGGTCTGCTGACCTAGGTAACTCCGTGTGCCTAGATGTCGTTTGGTGCGTGTGCGAGGGCCGATAACTGTTTCCCTCCGTATACGACCTCTCAGTCCTCGTTCTCTCAGACTTGGAGTAACGAGTCCTAGAGGTTCGTGATTGTGTAACGCTTGTCCTTAGGTTTCTGCTTTTCGTCTGAGACGGTATGACTTTCTTGTCACGATCTTCTGAGTGGCGCCCTGCTCTTGCCCACCTCTTCTTCCGCCGCCCTTTTTCCCTTTATCTGGCACTTCATAGTCTCCATGTCCACCGCCATCCTCCTTATCAATTCATCATGCTCCCTCATCCGATCCTCTAGAACCTGGGGATCCATTATTCGCCTTTGTCTATCAGGTCTTTGAGAGCGACGCGGACTTGAGCCCCGTCTATCTCGCATGTCTCTCTGTGAGTTCTGTCGCTTGGGATCCAATTCTGCCATAGATGGGACAAAAAGTAGACCTTCACGTCTCCTGCCCCCTTCCAGGGTTTGTCCATCAATTGCAGAATGGGGTAAATCTTCATTGTGCGCCATTGAACTTAGTGGAAGGAGAAACTTTAATCAAAAGGTTTGTTCTTCGTGTATTTCCCACAAACGGCGCCAATTGTACGAGCACAAAATAATTTTCTCGTATAATCCTGTTGATTAAGTTTGCACTCCTCCAAACGTCGTTGCTTTACTACTTGAAAACACAAATGAGAGCTAGCCGGCAGGTGTGTGCCGGAAACCTCTTCGATGTGTAAGTCAACAAATGGACAATAGACACAAAAGCTCTATATATTTGAGAGTAAAAATTGTGATACCTGTATATAGGTCCTGTATGAGCTTTTGTAGATTCTTCCTGACACAATCCTAGTAGGACTCCAACTCTCCTCAACAGAGTCCTCATAGGAATCACACTCCCAAAGATAATGTCTATCCTGATAACACTCTACTCACTACTAACCAAGTGAGATGGCTTAAACCTCCATACCTCAGTTTGGTAACTGCTCAACCGAGCTAGCATGGTCGTGCCCTATGCTAGACTTGACTGTACTCACACAGCTTGGTGCTACTTTAGGCAACGCAACAAGTCTTTAATGTTTAGACGATGCCCTGTGGGGCTATCATATACCTTGGTCCTCCTTCCAACGATACCTCGGTCCAGGACAGCCAGACCAAGCCACTGGTAGCTTGCCTCTGACCGAACTGTCGGGATAAAAGACCAAGCTTCATTACCTTGGCCCATAGTTCGGCCAAACATCTAGGAGATTGCACCTAGCTCGGTCCATTTAAATAGTTGCACTTACCTCTGCCCAATTTACACATAAATTGCCCTCTCAACTAGTAAGAGTCCTTTGAAATGTTTGAATTGTTGTTGTTGAGTTGTTATTGTAAAGTGCAATAAACGATGGGTAATTTAGGTCAGGCGGTGGGTTTGAGCAATTGTAACGATGTGACCTCGTGATGGTGAAAATTTGCTTCTTTGTGTAATTCATGTAGCACAACATATTCACATAGTCTTGTGGAGGCGTATCACATATCAAACCTAGATTAAGTGCTCAATTTGGATCAATGTGACCTGAACCCATAACTAGTGGTGAAGCAAATATAAGATTTAGGGCACTATCTCGAATAGGATTATCAGTATTATCAAGTGGGTTTGTTGTGGTCATCATGGCTGACTGAATGCTTGTCGGGCTCTATTCAGGGCGTGTGCCTTTCAAGAGTGCAGCCATAGCAACAACATGAGGGCAACCCATGGAGGTTCCAGATTCTATGTTGTAGTCATTGGAAAAAAATATATTATCGCCAATGGTGGCTGCAAATTTAGTCGGCATCCAAGTGGCTAAGACTAGTGACCCAGGTGCCATTGACTCTGGTTTCAAGATTCAAGTATTAGTTTGAGAAGAACCTCTTGAGGAAGATGAATCCACAACTGGTGAAGGTCTTTTTTCCTAGTATGGTCTGTTTGAACTTCATGCTAGCCCAAGGATGATGATCCTTAGTTTTTTCATATTTGATCACTTCATGTCCATTCTTTGGGCTTATCACAACACCAGGCCATTGAAAAAAATATGGGTAGTCGAAAAATTGATCATCAGATATCACTACAAAAAATTAAGGTTTTAGAGACCAAAATTTAGGGACAAAATTATTTTTTAGGGACCAAATATTTTTGTTACAAAAAATATTGTTATTATATTTTTAGCAACAAAATTTAGACATTAGTGATGAATTATTATCCCTTTGGGACCAAATTTTTTGTCTAAAAAAATAAACCATTTTGCGACCAAATTATTTTGTACCTAAAAGTCTATTTATTAGTGACATTTTCAAAATTTTGTCACTAAAAGACTTGTTTTTGGTTTTCGGGACAACCTTTTTGCGACTATCCTCATGACGATAGAAATTGGTTCCTAAATATTTTTTGCAACACAATTTTCACTTTTAGAGACCAAAATATTTAGTCTCTAAAACCTTATATATGAATATAGCAGCAGCGACTTGGGGTTCTGAAATACGATTTAATTGGTAGAAAAGGCTACCTCTGTCTTCACATATTATGATAGCAGAAGAGGCTTGAGTTACCAACTTAAGTGAATTACACAAAGAGATGGTTTTGTTATAAAATAATGGTAACTTTGGGTGTTAATTTTTGACCACACAATCAAACAGGGAAACTCAGCAGGAGAGCACCGACAGAATAGATTAAGCCTGAACAACCTGTTACAGGAAGATAAGAATCCAGTGGTGGTTGAGGTGAGTAGAAGTCGAGCAGTTGAGGCAGTGGAGGCATCAACTGAACTGAATGGGCTTATGAGAAGCTTAAGTGAAAGAGATTTACTTACGCCCAACATATCGTTGGAAGTAGTGTTGGATGAAGCCCATTTTGATGGGAACAGTAAGGGGCCTGAAAATGATAAGGCAGCTTTTGCTGAGGAGGAAAGCCCAATTGAGGAAGTTGGAGACAGTGATGATGAGCTTAGTGCAAGTGAAGATGAAAGAGAAGTGTCTCAACCTAGTGTATATGTTTGGGCCAATAGAATAGAGGCCCAAGTTAAGGAAAGTAGTAGGACAAGAACAAAAAAGGGGCTCAGTGAAAAGGAATCGATTAACACTATTGGCGTTCAAGGCAAATTCTGGAGAATAAAGGGGAAATTGGGGGCACCATTCAAAAGTGGCTTTCAACGAGGTGCATTGGTTTGAGTTGCAATAATGGCTACCACTCAGCTCTTTTTGTTAGTAACGACGTATGTAAGTAAAAGAAAGTTTGAAAATATGCTGAGGCCATAGTGTAGATGGGAATCAAGTTAGGCCTGGCACTGATTGGGTATGATGCTGAAGTTGTGAAGCAGATAATTCAGATGGAAAACGAAGACATTGATAGAGTGAAAGGTCAAGGGGTGGGGCCAGGTGCTTAATTCTAGCACTTGATAGGGGGGCTTTTTGGTGATTTTATTTTATTTTTTGTTATGAAGATTCTATCCTGGAATGTTTGATGGTTGGGTAGGGCAGAGAGATGTTCAAGCGTCAAGGAATTGTTGAGGTTGAAAAGGGTAGACATGGTCTTGCTTAAAAAAACAAAACGTTCATGTATTGATGTCAGTGTCGTTAAATCTTTGTGGCCTATTGATTCGATGGAGTTCATGGCTGTGGTTGCGATTGGCAGTGCTGGAGGACTTCTATGCATCTGGAATCCTGAGGTTTTCTCCTTAAAAGAGTGTTGTTGCTCTAGAAGCTTCATCATATTGGGAGGTACTATGTACACTTCTCTTAATTGTTTCGTTGGTAATATTTATGCACCAAATGAAGATGTGAATAAGAGGAGGTTGTGGAGCATTTTAGTTAATTTGAAGTTTGCCTTCCCTGATCTGTGGTGTCTAGGGAGGGACTTTAATAAAGTTAAAGATATTAGTGAAAGAAAAGGGTGTATTAGAAGGGACAGAGGTATGACAGAGTTTGGTAATTTTACTTGAATTGGTTGACATCCCAATGTTGGGTAGGAAGTTCACTTGGGGAAATTCTCAAAATTGGAGTAAGATTGATCGGTTTCTAGTTAACCCTGAGTGGTTGGAATGGTACAAATATAAAGTTTGGGGGTTATCTAGACTTTTTTCTGATCATAGCCCCATTCTACTGATGGAGGATGACACGGACTGGGGTCCGAAATCTTTTAAGTACATAAATGCTTGCGTCTTACACCTCACTTTTCTTGATGAAGTGAAAAGAGTTTGGGATTCAACAAGGGTACAAGGATGGGCAAGCTACGTAATTATGGAGAAGTTGAGAGTTTTGAAAGTTGCTTTAAAAAGATTGAATATGACAGTGTTTGGTGATGTAGACTCAAAGTTGAAAAAAACTGAAATTGAACTACATTCTTTAGATTTACAATCTGAACTGAGGGTGTCGGATGAGGTGGAAAAGGGCAAAAGAAAGGAGGTATGGGGTGGGGTGAGATTTGGACGCTTAGGAAAAAGAAAGAGTGGATGTGGGTGCAAAAGTCTAGGATGGATTGGGCCTTTACAGGTGACAAAAATACTAGATTTTTCCATATTATGGCTACAAAGAGACATAATAGAAACTTGATTGCTTCTCTTGAGGTTAATGGGGTAGAGGTTGAAGAACCCAGTGAGGTTAAACAAGCAGCTTGCTACCATTTCCAAAGTTTATTTACTGAACAATGGAGGTATATGCCAAGAATTGGAGGAGAGTTTAAGAAGATTGAAGCTAATCAGGTAGTTGACATTTTAGGGAGAGTGTTTTCAGTGGAAGCAGTATAGGCTGCTATTAAAGAATGTGATGGCAACAAAGCCCCGAGTCTTGATGGGTTTAATATGTTTTTTTTTTTTTTTTTTTTTTCAAAAAAGGCTGGAAATTTTTGCAAGATGACATCATGAAGTTCATGAAGGAGTTTTATAGTAACAGTAAATTGGGATATGGGGTAAATTGTTCCTTTGTTACTCCTATCCCCAAGAAAGAAAATCCTAACTCTCTTATTGATTATTGGCCTATTAGTTTGATAAATTCTCTCTATAAAGTGCTGTCCAAAGTGTTGGCCAATAGATTCAAGCAAGTTCTACCTAGTGTGATTAATAAGGTTCAGTTTGCTTTTGTGGGGGAAAGAAATGTTTTGGATATAGTGCTTATAGAAAATGAGGTGGTGGATTAGTGGAAAAAATCAAAGAGGAACGGCCTCATTCTCAAACTGGACTTCCAAAAAGCTTATGACACTGTTAATTGGAATTGTTTGCTACAGATGTTATCCAATTTTAGGTTTGGATCAAGATGGACTCGTTGGATGAAAGAATGTGTGGAATCTGCTCAAATTTCCATTTGGTCAATGGCTCACCGTCTGCAGAATTTTGTCCACAAAAGGGGCTTAGATAGGGTGATCCTCTTTCACCTTTTTTGTTTAATGTTGTTGCTGAAAGGCAGAATATATTGTTGTCCAGAGCTAAGGAGTTGAGTATTATAAAAGGTGTGGTAGTGGGTGGTAGAGAGGTTAATATATCTCATTTATAGTTTGCTGACGACTGTAGACACCCCATTTTTGACTGTCCTCAAGACTTGAACGTCATCATTTGAACACTCGATGATCATCCATGCTCATGTTCGTTTTGAGTTTTTGAAGGTCTCGGCTGTGTGCCTTGCCATAGAACCTCTCAACTTGTCTATTTTGTGCTTGGTTGTGAACCAAGAACTTGTGGTTTTGTTTCTGAGGGAAAAGGGTGGCTTGTTGGCCAGCCTTACAACCCATCGGCCAGGCCCTGTGCCTATCGGCCGTGCCCTCTCTTCATCGGCCAGCAGTTGCGGCCGGTCGACACCCTTTTTGGCTGGTCGGCCATATTTGTTGGCCAAGGCATTTTTATTTGCTTTTGCAGATATTTTTGTGCCAGCTGTGATAGTTGGTGAGCATATATTTCATCCTCCATACACGTGTATGGAGGGATTGAACCAAGCCTCTAGCTTGTTCAACAAACTTGAGACTTGGATTTCTATAAGAGGGGAGGCCCCTCTCCCTTTCCAGAGGTTCTGAAAATTGGAGATACAAAATATATATATATATATCTATATTTCTTCATCTCTCTCTATATTTGCACTTGTCGGTGCTCAAAAGTGTCTTTTCTTCACACTTTTGCACTAAAGCACCTAGTGAAACACCTTCACTACTAAGCTGAGGTTCTTAGAGGTTGTATTTGAGTGGTTTAAGCTTGGTTTTTGCCTCTGAAGTTGCTGTTCTAAAGAGATTCTTCAAGGGTGAGTCTCTTCCCTCTTTAAAACTTTGTTTTCATAGCTTATTTAGCCGTATTTGGATACTTCTTTTGGCTTAACTTTAAACTGTAAAAAGCTTCATTTTTAAGTTTTAAAAGTGTTTGTTTAGGCCTCTTTGGTGTTGGGGGTGGTCTACCCCCTTTTGTGCTTTGTTTGGCCTTGTTTTAAGCCATCTCTTTTAGGCCTTTGGATCACCTTTGTTTGGCCTCTTCACCACTGAAATCCAAAGGAATTTCAGTGGTGGAAAAGTGGTTTTGAGGCCCCAAATAGGAGGGGGTTGTCCCTCCCCTTTTCTCTTGTTTACTTGTGTTGGTGGCTCACCAAAAGAGCATGTAGCCTTATCTTCTTGAGGCTTTGTTTGAGCACTTTTTTGTGACCCTTTAGACCTGCCATGACTCTGTTTTTGGCTGTCTTGGTCACCTCTTGCATGCTTCTTATACTTGTAGTTTAATCCTACTTGTAGCTTTGCAAGGTAGCATGTCTTTCTAGCATGTTGAGGCTCTATCTTGGCATGTTTCTGTGCCTTTTGGTTTGATTACCTCTTACGTGCTCCTTGAACTTGTAGTGCAATCCTCCCCATTTCCTTAACATGTATCATGCTTTGAACCATCTTTTTAGCATGTTTTTTGGCTCCACTCCAGCAAGCTTTTACTCATGTTTTTCCATGCTTAAGCTCTGTTTTAAGTTGTTTTGGTCATGCATGCCTTGCTTTGTATAGCCATAATGCAATCTCGCTCACTAGCTTTGAGTTTCCATGTCATTAGCATGCATTGCTTGCGCTATTTGCATAATTTAGCATCATTTGGTATGTGATTTCAGGGTGTGTAGTGTGGTCACACTCTCTCATCTTTCACTCTTTCAATGCTTTGGAGGGTTTGTGCTTTATGTCTTAAACATGAGCCAATATGTATGACATCTTGCCTAGGCTTTTGGGCTACCATTTCAGTGTGTATTTGATCTTATTTTGCCATGCCATAACTCTGTTTTTGGTTGGTGAAGTCATCTCATGCTTAGTTTTGGTAGGTGTAGTGTAATCTTCCTCATTGGCCTTGCATGCGTCATGCTTTATGCCTCCCATTCTAACATGTGTTAGCTCTAGTCCACGCATGTTTTGGCCTTGTTTTGACCTTCCTTGGGACTGTTTTGAGTCACCTTGGCCCTTTGGGGCTCGATTGATATGGCCATGGTGCAAGTCCCTTTGCTAGCCTTAAGCTTTGAGCCTTCTAGTATGCTATGCTTGTGTTATGTGCATGATTTGGCATCATTCCTTACATGATTTCAGAGCCTATTTCATTGCCACACTCTCACATTTTTCACTCCTTCAATATGTTTGAGATTTGTTGTCTTCATGCCTTGTTTGTGAACCAATGTGTATGCATGCTTGTATTTGCTTTTGGACTTGATTTTCAGCATGTTTTGGCCATTGTCTTGGCATGCATGAGGCTTGTCTAAGGTTGGTTTGGTCCATTGAGTATTGCATTACATAGCCCTTTCCATGTTCATGTTGTTTTCATGTTGTTGCATTGCATTGCTGTTTGTATGTTGTTGCATTGTATTGTGTTAGCATGTTGTGTGTTGCATTGTGTTTGGGTTGGACATCAATCCAAACACGAGGAACGAGGGACGTTCCATACTCAAAGTGATGAAACATGCCTCATTCCTTAGGTCACTGTAGACACCCTATTTTTGACAGCCCATAAGACTTGGGCGTTACTGATGGTTTACTTGGTAGAGAAAGGTGTGCAGGGCAAAGGTTCAACTTCTTCGGCAAGAAGAGAGACAAATCCCAACTTCACACCCCATTTTAGACCAAAGCTATTTTGAATGGTTTTTAGACCTTAAAACCCTCTCTTTTGAAACATTTTTGAAATAAAATTTCTACGATGTTCCGAGGCTCACATTTTGTCAAAAAATGCGCTTTTCGATAAACCGAGCAAGGACAAGGTGGAAATGAATGAAAGAGAGACGAAATCTTTGAAAAAACTTTCAAAACACCTTGCTTAGGGGTTTGAAGTTGAAGAAAAGAGGAGAAGAGGGGAGAAGCCAAGTTGGAGAAGAAGATAGGCAAGAATCGCTAGGAGAGGGACGGGCAGTCCTCGCTAAATCATGCTTATCAGTCTATACACTTGGATTTAATCTATGAGGCCACCACCGTTGGAAAGAAGACTTCCGGGGCTTCATTTTTCATTCAAGAATCTCTTAAATCCGAGTCCGGAGGGCGGAGATATGATTGGTTGAAGTTGGGCATCATCCCGGTTGGACCGAAACTGAGTAGCCTTCACCAAAATAAGCATAACTATTTGTACAGTTGGAATTTTGATGCAAGGCTGGTGCCATTGGAAAGCTTACTTCCGGGGCTTCAATTTGGATACAAGATTGACATGAAAAGGAGTTCATATGAAGAAGTTATGCCCGTTTGAAGTTGAACCTGCAGAGTAGATTTTTCCTGCCGGCCGGCCAAACATTATGCTAGATGGCCGACCGGCTAGAACAGATGGCCGACCGGCCAAATAGATTGCCGACCGGCAGATTAAAGTAGCCGACCGACCTTTTTTGCTAGCCGATGACCTTCCGGAGTATTCTACAGATTGAATGGAAGCCAGCTGTGGCAGCTGGAATGCACAAACCCTGCTCCCCATGCACGTGTATGGCTGTTTTGCACCCTTTGCACACCTTTTGACCCTTTCTTTTTGCACCCTTTGCTCAAAGCTTCTTGAGGAAGCTTTGACCCCTTGTCTTGGCTTCCTCAAGAAGCTTGCACCTTTGCATTAGCTTCTCTTAGAAGCTTGGTCCCTTTGACCCTTTTGTATAGCTTCTTTGAGAAGCTTTATGTCATTTTCCTTTCTCTATAAAAGGAAGCCATCCTCCTCCATTGTTTTGGTTCAGCAAAACCAGACCTAATACATACATATAACATATATATCACCCTCTCTCTCTATCTCTCTCTCTCTCTCTCTCTCTATATTTGGGTGTGTTAGAGTGATCAAACACCCTTGTTCTTGGGCCATTTCTTCATCAAATCATAGCACAAGGCATCCTTACTCCATTGCAGCAACTTGAGGCTGTTCTTCAAAGCTTAGGAGCACCTAAACTTGGTCCAAGAGGTGCTGGTTTGCTGGTCTTCAAGGGTGAGTCCTCCTCTTCCCTTTTCTAGTCTTTTCTTGCTTCATATCTAAGCCATAGTTTCTTGCATTTTTGGGCTCCGACCCAAACTGTAAATCATCATATTTTGAGGTCCTCTTCATGTTTCATTGAGGACCTCTTGCTGTTTGAGGACAGTAGCTTGCACTTGCTTCATTACCCCCCTTTAATGCCATTATCTTGCATGTTATTCTTGGCCTATACGTGATCTGTTTTGGAGCATGATGTAAACTGTAAATAGGCTTATTTTGAGTCCCTCTTCAACATTGAAGAAGGGCTCAACACTGTTTGGGACCTCCATGCTATACTTGCCTTTATATTCTCTTTTGGGTCCCATTTTTGCATGCCTTGGCAGCCCCTGATGTTGCTGTTTTTGGACTTTGGTCCAAACTAAAAACAGCAATATTTTGACCCCCTTGTCATGTTTCATTAAGGGTCTTTGGCTGTTTGATGAATTTTTTGTATACTTGCTTCTTTGGCCACCTTTTGGCCCATTTCTTGCATAAGAGCTTAGCCATACCAATATTTGTTTTTGGGGTTTTTACAGTTCTGTAAATGTGCATATTTTGGGCCCCTCTTCAATGTTGTTGAAGGGCCCTAACCTATTTGGAGTCAGCAGCTGTGAGTTGCTTCATAATCTCATATTTAGGGCCATTTTTGCATACTAGTTTTGCCCTATTCATGTTTGCTGTTTGGCCATGCTTTGAACTGGAAAAATGCTTATTTTGGGGCTGCCTTGCTACTGTCTATTCATTG